CAACTGGATGCTAGCTAAGTATATTGTTCTGATATATGATTGCATTTAGATGCTCTATAGTACACTAGCATGTGTGTGTATATACACTAACATGAATACAGCTTACTCTTCCCTCCTCTCTCCCCATGACGCCTAACCCTTTTGCTTTGGTGCAGTTATCCTACATAGAAGTAAGAAGTGTATAAAAGTTAATAAATGAATGAAAATGCTATGTGAATATCAAATAAACACGGGAGCCGACATAGATGAGCTTTCCATGAGCAAAGTGAAATCACTGAGAAGAACAAAATAAGTAATTCTATCCTAGTTAGCAACTAGGGACATGAATACTGTTATTTAGTTTATCTTACTTTTCTAAGCCAAGTATAGAAAGCAGCTTCAGATTGAAAAACTGCATTGCAATGAAGAGGACATTTACAAATCATAATACCATTTTCAATGCAATTCTTAGTCACAGCATTTCCAATTAAAACAGTGCTATTCAGAGTGACATAGGTCATTGCCATGTTGTCAGGTTCTTTACACATTCATAATACAGTGAAGCTCATTGTCACTGTTGGCAGGGATCCTTCTATGCTGTGGGTACAAGGTTGTGTGCGTTAAAGGTTAGCTACCGTGGTATATTGTTCAGAAGGAACAGATGCCTCTCTCACTCTAAACCTACCATTCCATATTCCATAGTCACTTATTAGCTACCACATAATAATTCTTACATTGCTGTGTTATGTTAGTGTTTTAAGCACTCTTTTTATTCTTTGAAAATTTCATACATGTATACAATGTATTTTTGTCATATTTACTCCCCAGTTCCTGCCTCCCTCCAACTTTCTCCTCATTTTCTCATCTCCACCTCCTGGGCTGTTAAAGTTTTAAAAGATAGGTTTCAAGAGTGTTTTCCTTTAAAATATTTAGATACTTCTTATTTTTTTTAAACTGTGGCATTTTTAACTTGTTTTAGACTAGACTCCACAATAGTTTTATGTACATTCAAGAAACCAGTCTGAAATATAGGATCTGTAGACACCTTAAGAAAAAAAAAACTTGGTTACTGTTGACTCTTTCCAGTTTTACTCTTCTTTCAGCAAGTTGAGGACTCAAATATCAACCAACATAAGTTATCATCCCTCATACCCAATTCATTGATCTAACAAAGAGGATCAACTACTTTGATATTTAGAAGTATTTTTCTGACACTCAAATTTAAGGAAAATCAGAATATTCATCCAACACAGTCCATACCAGTTGACCTAATAAGGTTGATCAACCGCTTGAACAATTTATGGTCAATTCTAGCCCTACAACTAAAGGCAATTTCATAATTCAGTTTTATACCCCTGAATCTAATTGAACTGATACAACAGTTTATCCTTGGTTGTAGAAACCGTGAGGTGAATCAATTATTTGAATGGAGTCCTATCCCTGCCCACCCTTAATGAAGGAAGTCAAGTTCAGATGTTTACCTCAGAGAGAAATCTGACCTAGCCTATCAGTTTATCTTGATTCACTTTCTGTACTTAATCTTGGCATTTGCCTTCAAACTTTAGCACAAACTTATTGAGACTTCAGCAAACAGTTGAATGGCAGAACATAACCTGAAACCACATGAATGATGATGGGGCAAGACTGGAAGACCAAACAGTATCTGTGTTCTGTTTGAAACCTTGTGATATCTTCTGTCTGAGGGTAGAAGCTGGTTTTAGGCATTCATACTGGCCAGATCTTTAGAAGCAAAACCAAGATATCCTGGTCATGGTTAAAATTTGGAGTTTTTGCCTTACCATTGTATCTGCTTTGCCTAGGAACATTGCTTTTCTCTTTCTTTATTTCTTTTTTTCTTATCACTCATGAGAATCAAATTCTTCATGCCATGGAGCCATGCTTATAGCTAGCTTTTTCTTCTCAAGATTAGGATAGCATGCGACCCCATTGTTCTTTACTGCATGGCTCCATGATGCTTCCTGAGGTGGGAATTCAAGTTTAATGACACCTGAAATAGTGCCAATAGCTCAGACTGACATCTCAGTCCACCTAACAGTCCACATCAATCCACAACCTACCTTACCCAGAGGGGTCTCTTCTTGTCCATTAAAACATCTGATTCTGGCAACATTATATGATACTGACCTCATGTAATGAGTTAAACCTTAACCTACTTGCTCTTGAAGGATCTTATGTAGATGGCTTCATAGCTTTCTTCAGGATCTTTGGAATTCCTTAATAAAACCATTTGAGCCTATATCTTTCTCTCATGAAGGTATTGCTAAAACATCAAATTGCTGTTTATAATTTATATAGGATCATGTAGATGATCTGGGATTATTCAGATGATCAGTTTTTCATTCAGCTCTTATAATTTGTGTTATTTCCAAGAAATCTTCTATTTCCTTGATGTTTCTGTGTTTAAAAGTACAAAAGTTCATTACATCCATGGACAGAATGCATAATGTGTTAGAATTCCTAGCCACTCCCCCAGTTACATGACCTCGTGTACACTGTCCAGTAGCCAGGCAAGATGCTTAGTCATCACAGGGCTTTACATCCTACATAATCTGTGCACTGCATGATCACGTAATCTGTGTGCAGCATGGTCACACAATCTACATGCATGAGTTGCATAGCTATGTAAACCCATTTATGCATGTATGTGTGTGTGGAAACCTATAAAAGCAGGTTCCACCTATTCCTTTCCTCTCTTCCTGCACAGTCATTCCATAGGACTATGCATACCCCTTCTATTCCCTTCCCTTAATAAACTCTTATGGTGGGTTTCGTTGTGCCTTGTGGCTTCTCTCACCTGGTAAACAGTGCTGCTTAATAAATAACTTTGCAATGCTTAATAAATAATAAAATGCTATTTCTATTTTATCCCTCATATTGTCTTTGTGATTTCCCTCCTTGGTCATCCTAGCTCAAGATTTATCAATTTTTAATGACCGTTTCAATAATGGTATTTTTACTCTATTTTTCTCTGTTGTTTCTCTACTTCAAATCTATTGATTTTTGCTTTAATTTTTTTTTATCATATCTCTGCTTTCTTGGTGTTTACTCACCTGTTCTCTCTTTAGGAGCAGAGTTTGCCTATGTTAATTCTTTCTTGCTTTCTAGTATAAATACGTTTTCCACCTAACTACTATTTTAGCTATTATCCATTAATTTCAATGTACTATAGTTTTAAGTCCTCTCAAAGTACTTAACTTTTTGCATACTTTTTATTTGACTCAGGGGTAATTGGACAAGTCTGATTTTGAATTTTTAAATATCTGGATCTTCCTATGACTTTTGTTATTGATGTCCACTTTGTTAAGATCTGAGAATATACTTTGTATGGTTTCTGTGAGCTTTCATTTTCTTTTTCTTTAAGGCCAAGATATGGTTTCTGTTAATGAACCTTTCAGTTGTACTTGAAAGAAGTATCTACTCTTGTTGTATGTATGGTTCTAGAAATTTCAGCTAGATTGATTAACCTGATTGCAGCATTGTAGGGCATATGTATATTGAAGAGTATTACAGGTGTTTCTTGAGAGCTGAAATTGGAAAATGGTTTAGCATAACACTAATACCAACTGAGTCTAAAGTTCAGTGGAGTCTTAATTTCAGATCAGAGATTATGCTTTTCTGTGTTTGTGGAATGTAAACAGAAGTTTCTGTCCTGCTGTCCAGTTCCCAAATAATTACTCAGAGGCTTAATATTATTTATAAGTGCTTGGCTGGTAGCTCAGGCTTATTACTAACTAACTCTTACACTTAAATTAACCCATAATTCTTATCTATGTTTAGCCATATGACATGGTACCTTTTCTCGGTATGACATTCTCATATTGCTTCCTCTGATTCTGGTTGGTGATTCTTGACTCTGCCCTTCCTCTTTCCAGAATTCTCCTAGTCTGGCTTTCCTGCCTAACTTTCTGCCCAGCTACTGGCCTGTCCGCTTTTTATTAGACTAATTCGAGTGACAAATCTTTACAATATATAAGAGGATTATTCCACAGTAGTGGAAGCCTATTTATACCCATACATGCCCATGTTCAAAGTGTAAGAAAGCTTGTTTTTTGTCTTCCCAGTGCATGACAGGAAGATCTAGGTGGTTTTTTCATTACCGCTTAAGTGTTCTGTCCCTGGGATGGTCTTCATATTTATTTTTTCTACAAATATATTCTCTCCTTCTTTTCTCTTCACTCCCCTGTCTGAAAGTGTATCTTGTAAAATGCGATATTCAGGAGTGATGACTAAGCAATAGTTGGAATAAGATAAGATCCATCATTTGTTCAGTAAACTGCCCCCACCCCCAGTTCTCCTCCAGACATTCATTAAAATCGATTGGGGTCATGAAGACTCTCAGAAGCATGGAGTAAAAAATCTATTTAATCCTCCTGTTCCCTAACACAAAGCAGGGGACATTAGTTACTATAATATATTGATTTCTGGGAAGATAGCACGGAATATTTGAAACATATTTTCAGCGGCTTGACCAGGCATATGTGATCTACACAGTTTTGTTTGTAATAGCCAGTGTTCTTGTTGGCTCCTTTGCTTCTCATTTTATTTCTTTGGAGCTGATCTTTAAACACTGAGAGTCATGTATTGTTGGAGAAAAAAAACTGTCTGGGAATTCAAGTTCAGAAAATTCTCAGGCATAAATATGAAAACTAGTTGCTTCAGTGTCTATTACATGAACGTAACACATGACATATATTGTAAAGACCTCCATCCGCAACATTTTGTCTGTCACCCTTTACCTACTTCCTCAAAGTTAATACCACTAGCTTTCTTGGGAAGTATTAGTTTTCAAAATGCATTACAAAGAGTGAGGCTGTGCTTTACTGCATGGTTTGCAAAAATAGTTCAAGAATAAGCATGATGTCTTATGCCTTCCTGAAACAAAGGCATCCCTAAGAAAGTGCTATAGACTCAGTATCAACTGTCCCCCCCACTATCTTCCCTGTTTTTTTCGATATCTCTGTTGGGACTTTATTGACACTCTGCTTTCTTTTCTTAAACAGGTGGGCTCTGCATTGCCCAGTCCGTGAGAATCCCCCAAGAGCGCAAAGACAGGACCATTGACTTTGATAGAATTATCAAACAGCTCTTGGACACCCCCAACTCCAGGGCCGTCGTGATTTTTGCCAACGATGAGGATATAAAGTAAGGATGACTGGTGAACCTCATTCCTATGCATGTCACAGCTTTAGGAGGCAGAAGGATGAGGATGCTGGCAAGGAGAGGAGAAAAAAGTCAGATCAGAGCTGTAATTACAAGGTGGTAAATTCTTTTGTGCTTGCTGTCCCACACAGTTTGTCAGCCACAAAAGCAGTAGCACCTTGCTCTCCTGTAGTTTCATTTCTGTTAAAAACAAAATGTATCGAATAATTGGTAGAAAGAAAAAGTACTAGGCCTCTGAAAAGTTGTATTAAGAAAAATAGTTCTAAATATCGCAGGCTTTTATCCCAAGAGCGGTGTTTGTTAGTGCAAAAGGTTTATAATTCTGCCTTCACTGCTCAGAATTTGAACTGAGAATACCAACTGTTAGATGTCTACATTCCACACCTGCCTATTCCTTTCTGCACTGATTTCCTGCACTGAAAACTTGTCTTTAACTTCCCTTTTTGCCTAGCTACTTGCATTTGCAGCCATACCATGCAGAGTTACCCTTTGAATCTCTTCTAAAATGCCCCCTGCTTCCATTTCTGAACACCATAACCCAGTCTAGAATCTTTATTTTTTTAATTTAATTTTACATATCAGCCATGGATTCCCCTGTCCTCCCTCCTCCCACCCCTCAGCCTTATCCCCCTATTCCACCCCCATTCCCACTTCCTCCAAGGCAAGGTCTCCCCTGGGGATTCAGCTCAGCCTGGTAGATTCAGTTGAGGCAGGTCCAGTCCTCTCCTCCCTACACCTAGAGTCTTTATTTTTGTCTTTTTAAAAATAAATAGTAATTTGCATCTAACTGAAAACGCTAAAAATTTTTTCTAACAGTGTCCAAAACACCAAATAAGAAGTCTTGCACCCTGTATACTAGCTAGCAAGTTCTCCCTTGTGGGGAGCAGGGCTCCTGGCTTGTCAGTCTCTGATGTGTCATTCTGGAAACATTCTGTACTATGCTCCTGATCCATTTTTAAGTACCTGTACATGTACTGCATGTGCCTGCTCTTGACCTAGCATGCTTTAGTGTTTTATAACAGAGAGTGTTGTTTATCAGTGCTTGTGGATCTGTGCAGTTTTTTAATCTATATGCATAATTTTATTTTACCTGTGTACTCTGCAGTTTATTTAACTTCTCCCTTGTGGATTGACAATTACATTTTTCACCACAGAATTTCAAAGTTATAAAAAAAATACAATAGCAAACTTCCTATACAGAAATATGTGTGCTGAACTATAAATATGGGAAATATGTACTAATAATACATAATATAATAAGTGATATGTAAATATATCGGACTAATATATCATACCTACAGTGAACATAGAATTTTACATGTCCTCTTTTAAAATTTAATCATAGATTCATTATTTTGCATGCTCTAGATGTGTTTAGATTCTAACATTTTATAAGGTAGATTCTAGAAAGATCTGTCCTTTCCTTAAAAAGGCCATCAATACAATCATCTAGAAATGTGTTAGTTTATACTTCCCTTGTGTGGAACAGTTATGTTTTGAATCTTTACCATGTATCTTAAAATTCTGTATTATTGAATTTGAAAGTGAATTATTGTTACTGTGTAAGATTGAAGGGTTCAGACCATGATAATTTCTTCCATGAGATTTTCTAAGGTCTTTTTCAGCAATTTTCCTTCCCTCTCCCTGCTCCATGGGTCCTACCCAACAGCCCTCCCAAGCATCCCACTGTGAAGGCCTTGATCACAAGTGAGGTCACAAAACCATTACCTGGAAAGTGGAATTTGAGAATATTTTCACTACATAAATCATCACTCTGTCCTTGAATAGGTTTCTATCCCTAGTTCCCATTTTCTTTACATCTCAGTTGTTCCATAAGTCAAATGAAAGTCTTTTAAAGTGCTCCTGTGTGGAGGTTTCCTAGTCTAATTTAACCCTACACACTCCATGTTATATACACTGCTGGCCAGGAAGCCATTACTGTTCCCTCCTTTGTAGGTATTTCTATCGTTTCTGGTGTATTTCAAGGAAAATACCTCTGACCAGAGTATTTCTGGAAAAATCTTTTCATAATACTTTAATTTTTTGACTTATGCCCATGGCATCCTGTGTTGTTGTTGTTGTTTAATGGTTGAATGTTGTCGAATGAGTCTGTATTGTCCATTGTCTGTAGCCATCATTACACCAGATGACTTTTGAATGGTGTTTTTAACCTTATTATCAGTACTGATACTAACAGAATAGGTGGTTCTCAATCAATGCCATTGAATGAATGAATAAAATTCTGAGTCTAGTGCTCAAGTGCTTAATGATATGTAGAAGCTTTATTCCCCGGGACTTTGTGGTTGGTATTTTTGTTCACTTGCTTGTTCTCCCTCCCTCCCCCTCCTCCCTTCCTCCCAACTCCAGGGTTTTACTTTATAATCCCAGCTGGCCTCTAACTCATGATCCTCCTGCCTCATCCTCTGGTTGCTAGGATTGCAGGTTTAGGGATAAAACAGGGTTAAGTCTTGGTTCAAGTTTTATCATTTTAAGCCTTACATATACCACATATGCAGTTGTCAAGCTAAACGTTTGGTATGGGTGCTTCTTGCACATGTCTTTGCTCATGGCATTGTTTTGCTGAACTTGGTGTATCTCAAGTTCCCTTTCATATATGCACTTCTGTGGGAAAATGTTTTGGATGGCCATTAAATGCATTATTTCTCTCCTGGCACAATGCTGTTTGCATCACTCTTGGGTTGTTTTATTCCCCTTTGTGTTTTAGTCACTTGTGAGGTTTTGGTTTCATTATATTGGTCTTTGGGCTCCAGTTTCCCCCTAATGTTATTAACATCCTTGTCAACCATTTTATGTCTTTTCTTGTCTACTTTATACATTCACTAACATGTGATACATTAGTAATGTATGTCTGTGTTGAGATTTTAAAATTGTTTTTTTTTTTTTTTTGGTTTTTCGAGACAGGGTTTCTCTGTGTAGCTTTGCGCCTTTCCTGGGACTCACTTGGTAGCCCAGGCTGGCCTCGAACTCACAGAGATCCGCCTGGCTCTGCCTCCCGAGTGCTGGGATTAAAGGCGTGCGCCACTGTAGTCTTCTGAATAAGATTATAATACTTTTGTCCTGTAGTGTATGGCGTATATTTTGGGTAGAAAATGTACATAATCTCCTCATAAAGTATGTGTATTTTTGTAATGGAGCTACTTTCTATATTGAATATTATTCTATATTGCAATTTATGTGTTAGCATCTTGGTTTCTGAGCACAGTGATAAAAATCTGGTGCATATGTTTCTTCTAGAATATGATCTTCAAAGCAGAACCATCTGAAGATTACAGAATCCCCACAATGTTGATTCTTTTCGCAAAAACTATACATTGGAGATGGAAATTTTTGATATTTCCTGCAACATTAACTTCCGATACTTTGAAAACAGGAATAAGATGGCATTAATATCTCAGTTTTGAAGGGATGCTAAATGCTGAATCAGTCATGGGTATTGATAATTTGAATTTCAAGGAAGAACAAAATGTGTCTTCAAAATATAACTCTGCACATGAAAGTAACATGTGCCCATTGTAAATCTCATAGGAAATAAGTAACAGTTTCTTTAAAATAAGAGTACTGTAAATTTTACTCCCCCACAACTCTGTAGAAAAATTAAAAGTCAAAGTAAATGATTACAAAAAATAATTAAAATTATCTCTTATAAAAACTCTAACCTCTCTATACACAGACAGCCTCTAGTTAATCACAGTTTAATGTTTACAAGGAACTTGTTCATGTACTGCAGCTTTCTCCTGCAGTACAGAGATTGCACAAACTCTACCTAAACCTTTGTGACTCATATTAGAATTTAATCACTGTCTGAACTTTGAGTAAGTGCTCATTTATTTATATGTGTCTGGTCTTAACCTGTTTTCTTGGCTTCCTCTAACTTTCCCATCTCTGCCAGATGTCCTCATCTCTCCAAATGTGAATGGCTCACTGGGCACATGTGAAAATTCTCTTTGCATTGGAATTCATTATGTGTTAAATATTATAATTCTGAATTAAAATATTTTCTCAGACTTTTTGTTATTACATTATTATTCTCATATTTTGTTCCCCTTTGTCTCTTAAGAAATTAATCTGATTTCTCTGGGATTTTTCTGAATTTCTCTCAACTTTATAGGATATTTTTGTTATTTCCAGTTAGTACTTTTGTAAAATGTTTTGTTTCTCTATTTTTGCAACAGTTTAGGTTTTTTTAATTCACCAATTCATCTTCTCAATTCAACAGTTGATTGGTAAATAATTAATAAACTATAGAAGTGATCTCTGGAATTGTCTTATTAGCAATAGTTAAAAGCCACTGTTAAAAATAATATTATTTTTTCTACACATTTCTTCAGGAAATCTTGACTGTGTGTAATCTTACTTTTATTTTAACATTCTTATGTATAACATTTAGTTTTGTTTTCTTACTTTCTTTTCTCAAAAGTAACTGCATTTTTTCATTTTTAATACACAAGTTCTTATTTATGTTCTTAGTTTTTCCCTTATCTTGCTATTGGTTATCTTTACACACCTTAGCTAAGTGAATTTGTTACTTTGTCCTTCCTCCTGTAACATCTGTTCTCCACTCCATGGTGGTGTCCTTTTCCTTGCTAGTTTTTTCTTTTTCACTGGGGTCTTCTGTACCTATGGAGATTTGGGGTAGGTACTTGCCTGCTCTAGACATGGACTTATCAATTGATGGGAGTCTCAGCAGGTATAGAATTGGCTATTGTATTAAGTGATTCCTTCCTGTCAAATTTGTAGATCTTTTTGAAAGGGGTAGATAAAAAAAAAAACAGAATAATTTTTTCTTCTAATATGTTTGTTTTTGAAGCAAATGTCTACTCCCTTTAAGTAGCCTTATCTCTCAGTATTTAATACACGGTTACGTACCTATTCCTACCCACTCCTTTCCTCACTTCACACAAAAATTTCTCCTCTGCTTTTTGTTGCTCAGATGTCACATTGTTAGGGAACAATTTCTTATGATTTTATTAGAAAATTACCAGTCTGTTTTTTTTTTTTTTGGTTCAGGAGAGAGAAAATGTGATCTGAGTTTTCACTGTCCCATATGTTATTTTTAAACACATCTTTATTGATTTACTTATGAACTTATGTGGTACCTGAAATCTGAAAGTCCTGAGTGATGAGAATTTCTGTGTGTATGTGTGTATGTGGGTTTGTATATGTGGGTATAGTTGTTTGTGGATGTGTGTGTATGTATGGAAGTGTGTATATGTGTGTGGATATACGTATGCATGTGCATGTGTTCTCATATTTTACCTCTTGTCAACATCCCAATATTGATAACTTTCTCACTAATATCATTTTTTCCCTTTCATACTTTTACTCTTGCTGCTTTTGATATTTGCAAACTGTATCCATTTATAAGCATAGAAAATGAACTTTTATGTTGAAAGTAGAATTATGCTTATTTTAATAAATGACTGGAGAACTATGATCTATATTGACATAGTATTTCCTAGAAGTGAGATTTACTACATATTACCGCTCCATCTGAAGTCCAATGTTGCAAAATGAAGTAAAACAAGACTTGATTTGGCCATTTTGAGAAAGGCATTTAGAATCTTTTTCTAAGTTGTGCTTTCACAATTTCTAATACATGTGAATATGTATCTCCAGTTTATTACATGTTTATATCTCCTTTACCTTTGAATTCTAACATCTTTCCCTTGTTTCCCTCAAAGGGCATTGACTTTTTTGTTATGAGTTTATGAATTTCTTTACATATGCAGTATACAAATCCCTATCATAGCCTTTGCTACTGCTTGCTTGTGTTCTGAGACTGCAGAGCTTCTTTTGATTCTACTTGAGTTTGAAGATGCCTGTGTTCAGTTTGTAAACCTATATGCTCTCTTGTGTTCCTTTCCATAGGCAGATCCTTGCAGCAGCCAAAAGAGCTGACCAAGTGGGCCATTTTCTCTGGGTGGGGTCAGACAGCTGGGGATCCAAAATCAACCCACTGCATCAGCATGAAGATATCGCAGAAGGAGCCATCACCATCCAGCCTAAGAGAGCAACTGTGGAAGGTATGTGCTTTGTCAGCAGTGAAGCATGTGGAGAGGGGGCTATGTGCTGTTAGGTGACCCAAACTGAGGTCTTTGGGGAGCTTCATGTTTGTACAGGATTCAGAGAGTGTGTTTTCCAGAGTGGAGTGATGGAGTGCAAATGAAGCTGTACACCTGGTCTGTTCCCTTTGTTGACAAGCCTCTTTTGTAGAGATTATATTATTTTATGGTAATGTTGCAATTAACATAGATTCTTTTCTCACTCTGAAGAGCTTTCTGAGAAGAGATCATCACCATTACTAAGAACTGAAACAATGACACATCCAAGTGTCTGTGCAACAACACTGCATTTTTAGAGAGAATATTTTCCCTTTGTAATTTACCCTGTGCATCTTAGCATAACAAGCATAAGGATAGCATTCCTGTTACCTCTTGTGATCCCTCCTGAGGCTGTGAGTGAGTCAGGGACATGACCCTTTGCAGATACCAGCATTACCTACCTTTCTCAGTATCCCCTTGCTTTCTTACATTTATGCCACCTCCCTTTTTTATTTTTCCTTCTTTGCTATTAAAAAGACTTTGAGGGCAGGCATTAATAGGAAGTGATGTTACTTGCTGTTCCCATACTCTAACTGAATATATTGGTTTAAATTAATTCTTTCTTTAATGTGCATAAAAAGGTCCTGTCTAAATGGAAACACTATGTGAAGAAAAACAAACTCCTCTGCTGATAACCTGCTTTCTGTTTCCTTTTTGGTGAATTGTGTCTCCAAAGATTTTTTCAAGTGTGCTTTGCACATCGCTCTGAACTCCATCCTTTTACCAAGGGAACCAAATATTTGCACTTCTTTCTATTCCAATATAATTAATTATTCTCTCCAGAAGACTACAGGGTCTGTATAGATTTTTCTGAAACAAATCAGGTTGTGCCTCTATCTGTCACTGGTCTTTTTCTATGTTATCTTGAGGAGATAACAATCCTCTGGGTCACTTCTGTGTTTTCCTTGGGAGGCTTTGAGTTAATTTATTCCCCTAAAACATGCCCAGAGCCAATCGCCAATCTTACAAAACAGGTCACCGAATTTACAGATGTGCTGCAATAATAACAGATAGGATTTTTAATGGTCTCTATTCCTCTTCACTTAAAAATGTATGCATTTGTTCTGTGCTACAAGTCAAATAAACAGACTATGGGGGATCTCATATCCTGTCTCTCAGAGCATCCAGATTTGGATGAAACAGTCAGAAAGAAGCTAATGAGAGCAGACTATGGAAACTGGTCTGTGCTCTGGAGTAGTAAGTAAAGCAGGTTGAGTAGATGTTATCCTATAAGTACGACACAATGCTTGAGAGGACTTCTTATTGGAGGTTATGTAGTAACTGATGGCTGAGAGCTAACTGGGTGGACAGTGAGGAGTGAGGGATGTGGACTAAAGAACAAAGGGGCAAACACAGTGAGGTAGTTGCCTAATGACTCCTGAAGTAATTCTACACCCCCACCTTACTGAAATCATCACATTCTGCTCAACATTTTCCTGTTTACAAGATACTAGGAAGACTCTCTGCTCCCCTGGAGTCTAGTCATGATCATACTATTTGGTTGACTAACTTCTATTGACCCTTAGGTATTTCCTTGAATATTAATTTGGCATGGAAGTTCTCTGCACTCATTGCTTCTGCTTCACTGTAAGAAATACCTGTGGTAACATAAAGGGAGTGGGCTTATTACATTTCATGGATTTGGAGGCTTCAGTCAGGGTTTGATTGTTTCCTTTGTTCTTGATTTGAGATGAGAACATTATGGTGGAAGTATGGGGTAAATAACACTTGTTATTAGGCAAATGAAAGATAAGCATGCCTGGTATCCTGAAGTTCTCTTTATGGGCATACTTACAGTGACCTTCAATCTTCTCTATAGGCATTACTTATTGACTTTTTTTTTTTTTTTGGTCATTTTTAAAGAACATCCCCCCTGAGGTCCAAATCTCCACTATCTAGACCTTTGGGGGTTAGGTTGTTTGAATGAAAATGATTCTTCAGAGCTCATTTGAATACTTGGTCCCCACATGGTGGAAACGTTTAGGAGGTATGGCCTCATGGGAGACAGTTTGTCATTAAGGGTAGACTTTGAGGTTTCAAAATCTTAGGCTTTTCCCAGTTACCTCTCTACCTCCTGCTTATGGATCAAGATGTAAGCTCTCAGCTACTGCTCCAGCACCATGCCTGTCTGCCTGTTGCCATGCTTCCCAATATGGTGGTCATGGACTCACCCTCTGAAATTGTAAGTCTCAAATAAACTCTTTCTGTAAGTTGCCTTGGTCATGATGCCTTAGGATGGCAATACAAAGGAGGCCTAGATGAGAGAGGACATTAAAGACATAAACTATGCATTGTCTTTTGCTGTTATCACACTTGATAAAGTCTAAGTTGTCTTGCTGTGATGATTGATCTTGACTGTCAGCTTGCATGGATTTGGAATCACAATGGACACATCCCTCTGTGTATGTCTGTGAGGGATTTTTATAGTGTTGGATAAAGGGTGGAAAGATCCATGCTGAATGTGGGTAGCTCAACCTACCCTGTAGCTGGGGACCCAAAGTTCATCAAAAAGGAGAAAGCAAGCTGAGCAACAGCATTTGTCTTCCTTTGCTTCCTAACTGTGGATATATTGCCACCATGTTTCTACTACCATGCCTTCTACTACCATGAAATTCAGTCCTTCATATGTGAGAAAAACTTGCATGGACACCATTTCTAGTACCTCACAGGGTACTATTGTATCTGATAGGTACCTTTGGAACTCTTGTGTGTAGCTCTTTCCCTGGGAATTGTGAGAAATTGACAACAATTTAAATTATTATCTGCCTTTGTGGATTAGGAATCACAGACCACATAAGGGTCTGACACAAAATATGGCTGAATGGAAAACTGGGATTAGAACATAAAATGTCCTGTCTAGAAAGGAGATTGTGCTAGATGTTAAAAGTGACTATGGCATCAGAGCATGGAGTCAGCTGTGAACAGGGTGAGCTAGAATGCTCACCCCGGTGACTTTGTGGAACAGTGAATGGGGTGTTGTGTCTGGGGTAAGGAGAAGTAAGAGATTCTTGAGCCTTAGTTGAGTACTTTCTTCCTAAGCCCTAGTTGTCACATAGATATGATGACTATATTTCATGGCTACTAACCATATGGGAATTATATTTTAGCAAATTGCTAATTATTAATGGGGTTTTATAAACACTTGAAAGAAAAAAATGTTTTCTGTATATATCAGACCAAAAAGAGGCTTATGAACTTCTTAAAAGCAAAAAGAACGCATCAAACAAAATCTTATAGGGGCTGGGGAGATTGCTCAATGAATAAAACACTTGCCACTCAAGTGTGATGACCAGAACTTTGATCCCTAGAACCCCATAAATGGTAGACAGTCCTGGCTAGATCCTGTAATCCCAGAACTTTAGAGGCAGCAGGGCAAGGCTCTGGAGATTCAATGAGAGATCCTGACTCAATAATAAAAATAGAGAGGAACCCAGAAAGGTGCCTGGCATCATTTTCAGGACTCCACACATATCCACACATGCATGTGTACCTACACATTAGCCCATAAACATGCATATTGCCCCCACATACCCATGCAAAAATCGTTTCTCAAGACAATAAAATAGAGAAGAAATGTTGCTAAAAATGACATTCCAACATGATAGAACAGTGGTAATTTCTAAAAATCTCTATGGCTCCCTCCAAAGAAATGTGAAGATTTTCACAGTGCCATGAGGAAAATGCCAAAGCTTCTCTCTAGGGATACTATCATTGTATATTATTACAAAAAAGAACTAAACTGCTTCACTTTCACAGCAGATAGAACAATAAAATTGAGGATAGGCATTCAAAATGCCATTCCTAAGAAAGGGGGATGGGGATGAGTTCAACTACACTGCTGAATGTGAGTAAAGTTATGTAGGGTCTAAACTCAGAAGACAAGTAGAACACATTTTATAAAGACAAATAAGGATTCCATTCTCCAGCATATTATATATGTTTGTTTTGTCCCTCCTACTAGTCCTATGCTTGCTAAATTCTCTATATCATATTATATTGGGCAAGGATATCTTGCAAACATTCATAGTATACTCCTGTATCTTTGGGATATATGTTAGGTTGCAAAGAAATGAATTAATCAGCCACATCTTTACCTTTTAGGTTCATATTTTCTTTTTCATTTTTTATTCATTTTACATACCAACCACAGATCCCCTCTTTTCCCTCCTCTTGACTCCCCCAGTCTTCCCCCAACCCCAGCCTATCTGCCATTCCATCCTCAATAAGGCCTCCCGTGGGGAGTCAGCAGAGCCTGGTACATTCAATTGAGGCAGGTTCAAAGACCCTCCCCCTGCATCAAGGCTATGCAAGGTGTCCTGCCATAGGTACTGGGCTCCAAAAGGCAAGTTCATGGACCAGTGATGAATCCTGATCCTACTGCTAGGGGCCCCTTAAACAAATCAAGCTACATAACTATCTTGCTTATGCAGAGGGTCTAGTCCAGTCCCATGGAGGCTCCACAGCTGTTGGTCTAAAGTTCATGAGTTCTCACTAGCTTGGCTTGGTCGTCTCTGTAGATTTCCCCATCATGATCTTGATGTCCCTTGCTCATAGAATCCCTCTTCTCTCTCTTCGACTGGACTTCTGGAACTTGGTCTGGTGCTTAGCTGTGGATCTCTGCATCTGCTTCCATCCGTTACTGGATGAAGGCTCTATGATGACAGTTAGGGTATTCATTGATCTGATTACTGGAATAAGCCAGTTCAGGCACCCTCTCTACTATTGCTAGTAGTCTAAACTGGGGTCATCCTTGTGGATTCCTGGGAACTTCCATAGTACTAGATTTCTCCCTATCCTCATGATGTCTCCCTCTCTCCTAGGATCTCTTTAATTGCTTTCCCACTCTATCCCTGTTCCAGCTCAATTTTCAATGCATTTTGCCAACATCTGAATCTGAGCCTTTGGCTGACATTGGTGTGTGT